TTTATATTTATAAATATCGCTCTTTACGGTTGTGCGAGGAAAACCTTTATAAGTAGGATTATAAACTTTTCTAATATAATGCACAATGTGAGGGTTAGAAGGAAAACTATAGGGTAAGCACATAACAGTAACCATTTTTGCCAATTCTTCCCGATCTTTTTTTGGATCATAATATAAAATACCACCGGTAACAGTGTTAATTCCCGGTTGAAATTGATTAGACCCGGTACTAAGGTCAGCCTGACTAGGTGCACTTGTCCCCTCGGCCAAAGCTTTCATAGGAAAATATCTAGCTTTATCTTGAGGTGTAGCAATATGTGTCTAGTCAAACTTCCCGTCCCCCCGACTTCCAACATATTGAAAAACTAACTCTTTACCACAAGTTTTACACTTAGCCCTCTTTTTTTCTCTTAATTGAGTAAAAAATGGTCAAACAAAAGATGTTTCTGCCCGTTTAGAAGGTTGTCTAGAAAAAGTAGGAGCAGTAACAGGAGGGTCAGACGGGGCATCATTTGGATTATTATTAGTTGGGTTAACTTCAGGAGCAAGACTAGTGGGTGTATCGTCATCCGGTTGCGTTTCATCAAAATCTATTTCTTCATCATCATTTTCATCAATAGTTGGATTACCATAAAGAGCATTCATATATTCATGGTTTAATTGTTCACCGGGTGCAATATTATGGCTAAATAGACTCTCGATAAATTGTAATAAACTATTATCGCTATCAAGAATAGGAGGTGTAGGACGGGTAACAGGTTTGGGTCGGGGAGCCGGGGGAAGTGGAGGAGGAACAGATTGGCCACTAGATTCACCACTTTTGGATTTTTCCTTATTTTTACTAAACATTTTTTTTAAGGAATAAGCCATCTTAATTAATCAAGCAAAGTAAATAAAACAAACAAAACTATAATATTAAAACTTATGAGTTGGAACGAGTTTACCGAATTGACGAACAACTTGTTGAAAATTAATTATTGTTGAAGACTTGAAGACTTCAATTCACCAACTACACAATTTTGCACAAAATGTAACAATTAAGTAAGCAATTATAGAAGAATATTAGAGAGAGATTGAGAGAGATTGAGAGAGATTGATGATTTTGTGAGAAAAATGAAAGAATGAGGGGGTATTTATAGTTGAAAATAGGGAAAAAGTGTAATTATAAAAAGTTTGGGGTTAAAACAAAGTTTGGGGGGTTAAATGGCTATTTGCAAAATAGCAACGGCTATTTTGGCAAACCAAACGTCTAGTTTTTAAATGGCCAAACGGTCAATTTTTTTTTTTTTTTTTAAAATTATCCGTTGGGCCCGGATAGGACCGCTTGAACCGGCCCACTTCTCAGCCGATCCCGGTCCCAAACGATCCCGGTCTCGCGGGCATCACCTATAGGACCGGCCCACTACCCAGCCCACCTCCCCACGGTCCCGGTCCTATCCGGTTAGGACCGTTTAGGCCCACCGCCCATTTGGGCTTGCAGTCCTGGGCCGGTCCCGGTCCTAAACGGCCCACATGCCACCCTTACGTTAACCAAATAACCGATAACCTGAACCTCACCCTCTCTTTATCTGTCTTATACCTTTTCAGAAAAAAATTCCCAAAATTTTCCATCCTTTAACCTTTATACCTCCCTGGCAGAGAAGCATTCATCAATTTGGGTGGACAAAAATTATTTGATGAGGTTGGGGATTTGCGTGGAGATGTGAGAAAATGGGCATTCTCTAGTGAGATTTTTTGTTGAGAGACAGTGAGAGTATGGGTGGAGAAGCTATGATGTTCAAGCGAGGGAAAATTGTGTTTGTATGTTTTGGTGTCTATAGGATGTGTTTAATGGTGGTGTTTGAAAGTATTATTTGGAGAGAGAGATTGTTTGTAATGGTGATGGGTGAAGTTACAGGTGTTGGTGTGTGCCTGAGAATCGAGAATGGTAGCGAGCTTATTCTTGTTTTTATGTACTTTTTTTGGAGCAATTTGCAGGTGATTTTTTTTGTGTCAGGTGTATGAATGTTTCTGGGTCCTCTTCAAGGAGGTGTTATGTGTATAGTGTGTTTGAATTAGTTTGTGAGAGAGGGAATTCTATCACACGATAAAAAAACGTTTATCCGGTGGAAGCTTTAGTTGCCGGAAACGATACCTTGGCAACCTCAGATCCACTAATGGTAGCAACGGAATTTTGTAACTAATACCCAGTAATAACAGTGAGATTTAAACGGAAGAAAATTAAAAAAGAACCTAATTTTTACCCCAACTCTTGAAGCTTCCATCGTTCAATAATGGAGTTTGGGGATAAAAACTCTTAAAAAGGTAAAAAATAAAATAAAAGTATACGATGCAGCCTCTTATTTAGAGATCACGCCCCTTACGGGCGTGTATATCGCGCACTTGTACCAATTCAGATAAATAGTTGTCACATAATCTTAGTCAACAGTCAGAAGCGTTTAAAATATACTCTCTCCGTTTCAATTTAGATGAGATAGTTTGACTCGGCACGGAGTTTAAGAAAAAAAAAGACTTTTGAAACTTGTGGTCTTAAAAGCTTAAGGGGTAAAAGTTTTGTGAGAGCCATGACATTTATGTGGTTATAAAAGCTTCTCATTAAGGGTAAAATGGATAAAATGAAGAGTTTAAAGTTGAATTATTTCCAATTGTAGAAATATGTCATTCTTTTTGGAACGGACTAATAAGGAAAGTGTGCCATCTAAATTGAAATAGAGGGAGTAATGTTTGAACAAATTCAAGTATCTTTTTGAAATTCCATGTAGTAGAGGGGCCAGAATGTCAAATCAGTGCAAGTATTAGTATCTATTAGGCTATTCTGCCTATTTCTAATGGATTGAACTCTTATAAAGAGTAGTGTTTTGGGTCTTGAAGGTTCTAGGCACCTATGATATGGTTTCAAGTACATATGCTTAGGTTTTAAGAACCCGTATTGAGCACAGGTAGGTACCGAGTACCCGTGCTGAGGTTTCAAGTACCCGTGTTGAGGTTTCAAGTACCCGTGCTGAGGTTTCAAGTACCCGTGTTGAGTTTCCAAGAACTTGTGCTAAGGTGTAAAGTATCCTTGCGGAGCACGGGTAGATAGTGAGTACTCATGCTAAGGTTTCAAGTACTCGTGCTGAGCACCTATACCCTTGCATAGCACAGGTAGGTATAGAGTATTTGTGATGAGGTTTCGAAAGCGCGCTTAAGCCTTGAAGTGAGGCTTAAAACATGTTGAGCGCTTCGCCTTGCTTAGCGGGCGCTTCAATATTATCATCATGCCTCTAAGACATACTTTTCCTTGCCAATGAGTGTAATCCTGAAGAGGCGGCACTAAACAATTGATATTTCACTTTATCATAAATTTTCTTCAATTTCTTTGTCCATATATTTGGTATTCATGCTTATAGATATTAGTCTTGGAATACACATACATATTTGTCGTTTTTCTTCATTTGCGTCTTTCTTCGTTAAAGCCCACGTTTTATTTGCGCTTTATGCTTAATGCCCCAATAGACCTTAGAGCTTTATTGCGTTTTTCGCCTTTGATAACACTGGGCTATGTTGAATATCTTCAGGTTTGCCTGAATCAAATGGTTACCTTTATATTGAGGCAAATGGTGGTCTGAATCAGCAAAGGACATCGGTATGTCCTTCAGTTCCAAAGATAATTGTTCTTGAATTGCTGAAGTTTTGCTTGGGTGACGGTAGTAGCTTAATATCACTATTGTTGCCTTTGTGCTTCCAGATATGCAATGCTGTTTCTGTGGCAGGTTATCTTAATGCGACCCTGGTCATTCCACACTTCCATTTTCATAGCATTTGGAGGGATCCAAGGTTGGCCAGCTCTTTCATCTTCTTTTTTTGTTTGAGTAATGCAGTATTTCCTTAGAGGGACATTTATATACTGTAAAACTCAGGAATTTGGTGGTTGCTAGGAATTGTGGTTGCTATCATTACCTTGGATAGCTTTTTGTGATGACAAGCTCTTGAGATGCTTTACTATTTTTTTAATATTTCCTTTACTATCTTTACTTCTTTTTTTTTTACTATTTTTACCCTTGAATTTTTCAAATGTATTTTTGAAATTGCCTTTCTTTAGCCGAGGGTCTATCGGAAACAACCTCTCTACCTCACACAAGGTAGGGGTAGGGGTAAGGTCTACGTACACCTCGCCCTCCCGACCCCACTTGTGGAATCATACTGGGTATGTTGTTTTTGGTGTTGTTGAAGCTCTTGAGATGTTTTATCTGCTCTTATAGCATTAGAACTGACTTCCTTGTAATAGAAATGTACTACCTCTAATTGAATATATCACAAATGACCGCAAAAAAGATTTCAGTACCTCTAGAATTTGAACAGATTTGTTAGTCTGGGAATCTATACCTTAGGTTTTGTGCCATTTCCTTTTGAGGTATTGTTGAAGCAAACTAAAATCTAGTGGTGGATTGTCGTATAATTATTTCTGAGATAGTAGGTTTTAGTTTGTTTTGAACATGGCCATTCTCTTGATCAATCTTGAGTTTAACATCCATCTAATTCTGCACCTTCTTTAATTGCAAATCATAAAAATGCTCCACGGTTGTTTTCTGCAGCAAGTTTGGAGATATCTATGATGAAGAATTTTTTGTTAAAACCCTAGCCAATGATGTACGAGTGGTGGACAAGATTCCTGATTATATTATGGAACGATTCGATTACAATATGAGCAATGTTTACAACTTCAGGATCAAGGCTTGGTCCTCCATCAGTTACTACAGGGATACAGTTCTTCCAAAGCTGCTCGAAGAAAAGTGAGTTCCTGGACATTTCTGTTTTTTTGTCACCACTTTGACTCTTAGGCTGAACTTCCTTTACTTAGAATATTAGGCCTAATCATTGATACGAGATTTATCCTTGTGATGATACGATGGAGTCCTTGTTATGGAAACTCATACTTAGTTCTAGTTTAAAGTAGTTTCATAATTGATTATATGATATACATCTGGAGTGCTTGCTCTTCCTCTTATGGGTTCCTCTTGGGTTTTTTGCTTTAAAATTCATGTTTTGAGGTACATTTGGTACTTATTTTGATTTGTTGCATTTCTCTCTTGGGATGACAGAAAGATAGCAAGCTAATGCTGGTGCTTTTCTTTGTGAAATACAACTCTAATTTACTTTCCAGCTTGGAAACTAGATTTGTCTTCTCCTAAATTTTATGCAACCTTTGTCTCACCTTTCCTTTTTTAATTTCAAAAGATTTTCCATGTTTACCATTTTCCGGTGACTGACTCACAAAACAGAAAAGAAAGGTTTAGGCTGGAGGATCTGGTGCTTTATGTTTGATATTGATCCTTCTGGGTGATGACCTAAACTCTTAGTGGAAATCTTTCATCTTATTCTTGTACAATTATAAAGTGGTCTCTCCACTAAAGATAACAAAATGCAGGAAGTGTTTAGCTTTTGTATTTAATTTTCTGAGCCATTATCATACATATTTGTACAGATTCAGTTAGAGAGATATTATTTATTTGTAATTATGTAGCCTTGAGTTTTTCCTAGTTTATAATAGTTATTTAAACACCCGATAGCTTGGGACAATAATCAAGCAATACATATATATTCCTTGCCAATTCTTTGATGCTTAATTGATAGGTTCGTTTGTTCATATTTGAAGCATTTTGTTTTGTTATTTATGGTCACCATTTTTGCTAAGATTATCTAATCGTGCACTCAGGCTCATTAGAATATCCCCGTTCGCAAACCGTTTATCATTTGATGCTCCTCCAGCAGTTCAGCGGCTTAGGTGCCTGGCAAATTATGAAGCCCTTAGATTTTCAAATCCTATTTTGAGTTTGGGGGAAACATTGGTTGCAAGAATGAAAGAACGGAGTGCCAATAATAGTGGAAAGTATATCTCTGTGCATCTCCGCTTTGAAGAGGTTAGTTTCATGTGGTGCAAACTGCTATATATTGATTGTTTATGTGCTCCACAGCTTAGATTTCCAAGGGTATTGAGCCATCACTTTCTCTTGCAGGATATGGTGGCTTTCTCTTGTTGTATATATGATGGTGGTGAGGAAGAAAAAAGGGACATGGATGCTGCAAGAGAGAGAGGATGGAAGGGAAAATTTACAAAACCTGGTCGTGTGATTCGTCCTGGAGCTATCAGGATTAATGGCAAGTGTCCCTTAACTCCTTTAGAGGTAATATCTTGTCATTTTCAGCCCTTTTCAAGATACTTGACTTTCATGTTGTTTATATCTTTTTTATCTTATGAATTTAGGTAGTTAGGCACTTCTGTGAAAGGAACATGTTATATTTCAGATAAGTGGTATGCCTGTACTTTCTTGGCCTGGTCAGAGCATTCTGATCCTTTGTGAGACTTCCTTCATTAAGAAAAGTTTTCTTTAGAAACCATATTGTCTAAAATATTTTCTGGAGATAACACTTCTTTGTACCTGATCTTAATTTCAGTTCCTGAATTCCTATCTTTGTCAGAGATTTAGTGTATACTTATGCTAGGCACAAGGATCTTTATGAGATGATGAATGGGTAACAGTATATGATTGCACTGGTTTTACTTGTATTAGTTTTGTTGGCTTCCCCTAGTTCACCAGGAAATATCTACGAAGTGACTCGTGAGACTTGAGTAGTATACTTAGTGGTAAGTGGATTTTTGAAATTTCTTCTCCTTGTTCAATCATGTGTGACAAGGATACCTTGGAAATGTGAGTGGACTATTCTTCTTCTTTGTCTTCTTTAGTCAATATCTACTGGCTTAGGTGAGTTGCATGATTGTGACTAGCGTTTTAGTAAGATTCCAACTACTATACGTTATTCTCATAAAATCTACTGCAGTTTCACGTCCTGCTTCTGTGGGCTTTACCTCTCAAGCATTACTATTGTCTATCAACTTTTTATTGTTTTTGCTTTTCCTTTGCGCTTTATCATTTTCATGGCTAATTTTCTACACACTTTTTATCAGGTTGGTTTGATGTTAAGAGGCATGGGATTTGACAAGACTACATCCATCTATTTAGCATCTGGAAAAATATACGACTCCGAGCGACATATGAAACCACTATTAGAAATGTTTCCTCTTTTACAAACTAAAGATATGCTGGCAACCCCAGAAGAACTAGCTCCATTTCAGGTTTAAATTGTTATTTGCCGTCTCCAGGCTTTTTAGTTTTTCTTCCTCCCCCCCCACAAACCTTGGCTACCATCTGACTCAAGTTATTGCTTATAGAATTACTCTTCCAGGATGGCTGCCATAGACTATACTGTTTGCCTTTATAGTGAAGTATTTGTGACAACTCAGGGAGGCAATTTCCCCCATTTTCTGTTGGGCCATAGGAGATACTTATATGGTGGACACTCCAGGACCATCAGGCCAGACAAAAGGAAGTTAGCTTTGTTATATGATAATCCCAATATCGGGTAAGCTTTTGGTTAACATTTCTGCCATCTTTTTTCCAGTTTATGTCAGACCTCTCTAGTGTGCCTGTAAAGAAACTGAAAGAAGCCTTTTGGGGATAGAAATAAAAGAGTGGGTATTACAATGTTGAAGGGCCCATGGCCATGGCGGTAATGATGCTGGCTATTGTTACTTAATTCCATTGAAATACCAGGGTCTTCTGGTGTTTCATTGCTGTTCTGGTGACTTTACCTGTTATCTTAATTTGAAGGGTCATTTTTCTAACTTGCTGTAAAATTTAGTTAGGCACTCTATGCAGTCTTGTATGTTTGTTTTGCAGTGCTTTTGACCAGTGTATGTTTTCCATGTGCTCCTCTTCCAGGTGGAAGAGCTTCAAGCGGCAAATGCTTAATATACGAGCACATAGTTATTCAAAAGGTATTGAGATTAAAAGACCAAATGACTCAATATATTCATTCCCTTGCCCAGATTGCATGTGCCGGAGTAACAAGACTGAAGATTTTAGATCATCCTCAGTAACGTGATCTGTGTGCACGTCAGTAGGTGGTGTTCTTATTCTCGTAGTATGCATGAACCTCAGCTGCTAACCGTTCTTGTTCTCGTAGTACACATGAACTTCAGTTGCTAACTGTTGTGATTCTTTCATTTTTTCCCCTCCACTGTGGAGAGGGCCTTACTGGATTAGCTGCTTCTGGGATTTGTATAATGACTGACCAATTTGATTCTTTCCCGGGCATGAGTTTGAGAGTACGCTTTTGTACATGATGGTGTGAGAAAGGATGGGAAAGTCATTTCCATCGGTGAAGTTACCCCCGGTGTTAATTTACATAGCAGATTCATCTTCTTCCAGCTGCTGTAATCTCTAACAAGCTGTGAATTGACACAAGATATATTTGCACGTTAGTTTTGTGAGAAACAGGATTTTGTATATTAGTGAAGTGGGAGTGTTAGATTATAGGAACATGATGAGAACAGTATAGGCTTATCAGAAGTCAGGGTTCCAAAATTTTACTTTGGATACCCTTTTTTGTCAATATAATGTCTCTTGTTGATATTTATTGCTGTTTGACTAGATTTATCAACTTAATTCAGAGTGCACAGAATTTTCAAAAGAGCACTGTTACAAGTGTGAATTCTTTCTTGATTAATTGTGTCTATGACAAAAGCATTTACTTGTGAGAATTCTTTTTTGATTAATTGTGTCTATGACAAGCATTTACCATTTTATATTCCAAATGTTCATAAATGAGATCATTTGGCTTATCGAGTATCAATCATTATTTTTGTTTGTTTATAATTGATGAGCTCGAAACACACACTTAAATTATGCTCGCTAATCAAATATAGTATAGTATAATATTGTATCCACATGAATTGGATTTAAATAGTATTCTCGTAGTTTCTAGCTTGATCGCTATCCAAGATGATGAACAATTGAGATTTATATGATATCTAACTAAAATTAACTAAGAGTATAGAAGATAAGCAAAGAAGGGTCGATAGGATAGGTGCAAGATAATTGCTTCGGATCTAAGTCTAGATAATTCACTTCTAATGTTTAAGTGAGTCTCTCGAGTTCACTCAATTACCAGTTCAAACGTTCGGCAAAACTCCTCTCTCGATTAAGTTTCAACCTCACACGATGAACCAATTTAAGCATGTGAAGATATGCAAGAATGCGTAGTGGATTGGTCTTTAGGAAAACTTCTTTCGATTATTCTCCTAACTAGGTTTAATCAATGATTCAACTAGCCTCTTTCGATTACTAAGAAGAATTAATGAACTCACTCTAGTGGTATCTTGTGGCCTAATGTAGTGCTTGTATTTGTAATGTAGTGCCCTTTTAGCGTAGTAAAATGTAGTTCCCTTTAGCGTAGTATCCTTGTAGTAATTGAAATTAATCATTTAAGTATCTATTATACCCAAAAATACGTCAAAATAGCTCATAGTTCAAACACAAACTCTGTCCAATTCTAGTCAACGATCGTAAAAAAAAATAACATGAGAAAACAACAAAAATTCAGGGTATCTTGGTGCTATTGGGGCATCAAATATCGAACCCGGAACCCATAAGTGAATATTTAATAATTAAATCTTGTATAATTATAAAAATAAATTATTTAATTTTATTATAGTCAAAAATAAGTGAATCATAAACAAAAATATATAATAATAAAACTAACATATAAATTAATAAAACTAACATATGCAATATTAAACTAACATATAAATAATAAACTAACATTTAAAATAACAGACATGTTGAGTGATAAATCGAGAAAATTTTCTCATCATGAACACAAGAATTCAGGAAATCTTGGTACTACTGAGCCTCAAATATCGAGTCCGAAACCCATATGTGAATATTTAATACTTAATCTTGTATAATTATGAAAATTAATTATTTAATTTTATTATAGTAAAAAATAAGTGAGTCATAAACAAAAATATATAATAATAAAACTACTAACATATAAACAATAAACTAACATTTAAAATAACAGAAATATTGAGTGATAAATCGAGAAAATTTTCTTATCGTGAATACAAGAATTTAGGAAATCTTAGCGCTATTGGGCCTCAAATATCGAACCCGAAACCCATATGTGAATATTTAATAATTTTAAATCTTGTATAATTATGAAAATTAATTATTTAATTTTATTATAGTCAAAAATAAGTGAGTCATAAACAAAAATATATAATAATAAATTATCATATAAATTAATAAATCTACTAACATATAAATAATAAACTAATATTTAAAATAACAGAAATGTTGAGTGATAAATCGAGAAAATTTTCTCATCATGAATACAAGAATTCGGGATATCTTGGTGCTACTGGCCTCAAATATTGAGCCCGGAACCCATATGTGAATATTTAATAATTAAATCTTGTATAATTATGAAAATTAATCATTTAATTTGCAAAGAAACTTATAAAATAATAAACTAACAAGTAAAATAATAAACTAACATATTAAAGTAAAATAATGTAATTAATCTTGTTTAATTTACAGAAGATACATGGAGGTTCCGCCTTTGCATCCCGGACCTGCCAGCCTGAAGCTACTGTTGTTACAGGGCGATCATAGGTTGTCCCACATATGGGAGGGACATGTACTGGCCCAGACTTTTCGCGCCAGGAGAGTAGACGATATGTGGGGCTTTCTCAGGGACCGCGCTCTCCATCCCCGTATAGTTAGACGCCTCCAGGATACGTGCTTTTATAGGATTGTGGAGATCGGACGGCTGCAACTCGATTGGTCGTTGATAACGGCCCTGATAGAGCGGTGGCGACCGGAGACGCACACATTCCATTTGCCCATTGGCAAGGCCACCATCACGTTGCAGGACGTGGAGGTCATGTATGGGCTGCCCGTTGATGGACACCTTGTTGCTCTGCCACATGCCATGAGAGAGCAGACAGGTTTGCAGTACCTGGACATGCTGCAGTGGCTCACCGATTTACAGCCACCGGAGGAGACTGCACTAGTTGGGGCCAGTCGTTTGCAGTTGACGACTGTCCGACATCATTTGGAGGCATTGCACCCTAACATCACAGACGATACACTGGAGCTTCATATTCACCGGTACACGAGGTTGCTGTTACTCCTTATGTTTGGAGGGGTTTTGTTCCCGAACACTTCGGGGAACCTAGTCATCTTGAGATTTCTTCATCATCTTGAGCGGCTAGATGATTTACCCCAGTACAGCTGGGGTGCTGCTGTTCTCAGCTACTTGTACAGGTAGATGTGTCGGGTGGGCATGGGCACCCAGCATGACGTTGCTGGATTTTTGCTGCTGCTACAGATGAAAACATATTCGAATACTCTATTCATTATAGCATACCCAGTAAAAATATACCTTAAATTTTACGTCCACTTTGTATGTTAGGTTTGGGCCTGGGAGCGGTTCCTGCAGTTGCAGCCACCTCTACTACCATTAGCTCTGGTTGCACCACCTTCGTTTCTCCCTTTAGCTAGGAGGTGGGTTGATAGGCGGGGATATGGACGAGAGTACGAGGCTCGACATAATCTCCCCTTGTGCAGGAATTTGTTGGATTTGCTAGAGGGCGCACAGGTAAATGTATACCTAAGTTTACTTGGCCTGGCTTCATATGTGTTGCGTATACTCACGTTTTCTGTTTTTACTTAATAGTTCATTTGGAGGCCATACAACGACGAGCTAATTGCTGGTTTGCCCGATTATTGCTCGGCCAACTGAATTATGTGGAGCTCTTCCATCCCTTTGATGTACCTTGATATTGTGGAGCATCATGCCACCGATCGAGTACTTCGCCAGTTTGGTCGCCCGCAGCTTGTACCGCCACCGCCCGCCTGGCATATCACACATTACCAGTGGGATGATCGTTCCAGGGTGGACCAGACATATATGGCATGGCTAGAGGCGCAGATCGATACTTGGGACC